CAAGCTGGCCTGCGCCGGCGACGGACTCGCCCCCGAGGGCCAGATGTTCGCCGCCCGCGCGGTCATCCTGCTGGTGCCGTCCGCCGTCGTCCTGGCCTCGTACGGCGCGGTGGCCCGAGCCGTGTGGGGCATGCGGTCCGGCGGGGGCCGGAGGAAAGCCGTGCGCACGTGTGGGTCCCACCTGGCAGCCGTCTTCCTGTTCTACGGCTCGGCCATCTACACCTACCTTCAGCCCACACACCGCTACAACCAGGGGCGGGGCAAGTTCGTTTCGCTTTTCTACACCGTGGTCACACCCGCGCTCAACCCGCTCATCTACACCCTCAGGAACAATGAAGTAAAGAGAGCGGCAAGGAGGCTTCTGGGAAGTCTAGGGAGAGGGCAGGCCGCACGGTGAGTGGGCTGGGGAGGGAAGAAGCATTGGCCCAGGGCTCAAGGCTGGAAATTCCCGTTGGAGAGTCAGTTTAGCGTTCAGGATGTTCATTTTTGTATGAGAATCTGCAAAATTTGTCCTCTGGAGGCCAGGGTTGGTGGGGGAGGTTCTTCCCTTGCGTCAGGAAATGATACAATTCTTGAAGGAAGAATCCCTAAATCCTCTATATATCCAGGTTTAGGGAAGGAAATGGCCCTTGAGCTTTCTCCCAAGCTCATGAATAGAGGAAGCATGATTTGGGCAAGACTTTTCTCATCCTCAGGGGATATTGTTTCCACCTCTCAAGACTCCATGTGCAGGGAAGATGATGTCCAACATGATGTGTACCGTTAGTTCTTCCTCTTTTATGGAAAACATGGAAGACCCAATGGTCTCTGCCATAAGAAGTCTCTCAAGTTGACAAGAAAACCATAGTCCCTACTCTGCCCAAGACCCCATCCAGAAAAAAAAGCCATGGACTCTCTTCTTGGAAGATCAGTCCAACCTTTGCAGGTGACCAGTGCCCAACATAGAGTGTTTTACTGATAAATGTGATGAGGAATGATCATAAATGTGAGATTATGAGTGGAGTTGGAAAACTCTTCTCCAGGAGGTGGTTCTTAAGCAAGTTTTAAGGAAAACAAGGAACTAGAACTAGTGGGAAAGAAGGCAAGCATGTCTCACTGTGAAGACAAAACACACAAGTGAAGAGTAGTACAATGGGTGGGGGGGAGACAGAGAGAGAGAGAGAGAGAGAGAGAGAGAGAAGTCAATGGAGGGTCAAAAATGGAGGAAGGGGCTTGAGTTCCCAAGAAGGGAACAGGGATCTCCTGATTAAGGAAACAGAGAGGAAGATGCTTCATCAGCAGAACCTGAGCAGTCTGTTGAACTCAACCCAGAAGCTCTCCCTTTCACCCATCACCCAGACTGATACACTCAACCTGGAAAAAGCCTGTTAGGCCCTCAGAGAGGTGGGACAGAGACTGGTTCACAATTCTCCACCTTTCAGAAAGTTTGTTCCCTACTTAAGGAGATCTTCCCCCGGGAGCCCCCACTAAAGACACAGAATCTCTATATCCTAGTGGAAAATGTCTTTCCATGCCCACCACCATCCCATAAGTAAGACCAATTTTAATTGGTTGTAGGACATAGGGGACAAGAAGGGGCATGGTGCCAGATTTCATTTCACACCAATTTTTAATAAGAAAAAGAGATGTAATTTGATTTAATTTCTAAAACATTTATTAGGAAGATTATATTAGTGTCAGAGTCATTAATTCACTTCATAATAAATCATTTCACTACACTTTATAGGTAGAAATTCAGTTTGGTTCATCAATTATTAAAGTATTGAGATTAATAAAGATAGTAACACTGAAATTAGTAAGCCATGGATTCCAACAAAACTTGCTCTCTGTTATATGGGAAAGGAAATAGGAGTTTTTCTATAAATCGTAAGGTTCCAAGAAAGAATTGAATTTCAAACTGGATTTGAATGCTATCTCAAATATCACTTAGATATTTATTTTCTGATCTCAGTAATACATGATAAACAATTCTGACATTTCATTGACTATGTTAGAAACAAAGAATTATAGACTTGGAAAATATTATTTTTCCTACCCACCCTTCCCCAAATCTTACTCTATTTCATTCTCATTAATTTTGGGAGATCATCAAAAGATGTGCTTGCTGAGAGTGAGATTAAAGGAAATAAGCTCTTTGGCTACTGAAAGCACCTTACACCCTGGGTGGTCACCCCCCAATACAATAGTATGTTAGGAAGAATAAATTGCCCTTTTTGATGTTATAATCTGCCATGGTCTTCCCATCCTCCACCTTCTTTCCGTTGCAAGTTACAGTCTGTCTCTCAGGGGTTATGGCAGTCTTGGTCTCAATCATTGCTTTCACCTGGGCCACTGAGCTGGACCTTCGCACCTAGAGGAGGTGGCTCTGCCCCTCATCACCTTACTCCATGAGAAGTACAGGCAGCTCCCCATCACTGGGCTTCACCACTCTCAAAGTGAGGTGAATGGTCTTCTCCTTGTCAATGCCATAAAATGATAGCTTTCTCTGTGACTGTAGGCTCTTGGAGCCCAACAGAAGGATCTGGTCCTGCACAGAAACTTTGGTCTTAGATCGGATGTGTTCATTGATCTTCTTCACTGTATCATCTGGGTTGACATCAAAGGTCATTAATTCCCATTCCTTGGAAGCAACATTCACCTGGGCAATGAAGGCCAAGAGACAGTTGCTTACAATGCCTGCCACCCCCTGGTCCCCACCATAGTTGCCCCCACCCTTCCACTGCCTATCTGATCCTCCAGCTTCTTTCCAGCAATCCATGTCCCTCCCTTTCTTGGAACTTCTCTTTTGGAATTCCCATGTTATAACATAAATAAGAAAATCTGTCCCATTCCTTTATAACCATATCTCTTATTTACCTCAAAATGTAATGGATGATATCCCACAATATTTACCTATCCCTCCTTCCCAGATAAAGTTTGTCAAATGTCAAAAAGTAAATGCACAACTTCAAAAGATATACTCCAGACTCTAAAAACAACTCCCAAAGAGAATTTGGCAGCCTTGTGGGATATGCATGACCATAGAATACCCTCTGTGACTACTCCTGAAGGAAACCCTGGTTAGAACACATAATCTCCAAACTGCTAGTTTCTTTTTAAATATCTTATTGCTTTATAATAGTAACTCACACATTGTAGTGACACTGGTTTCATTGTTACCTGTTAATCTGTATTTTTTGTTGTTTTTATATCTACCAAATATAGAATAGGATATCCTGTCATTAGACCAGGGCTTCACTCACAGAGAGTAGGGACTATAAGTATAATTTTGATAACAGGTACATTCTAAAAGATGGGAAATCTCCCTCCGTATGGCCACTTGAATGCCTGGAAAAACCTTCCTCAAGTTCTGTTCAGAAAGTTTCCCACCCTAGATGTCACAGACATTTCTTCACTGGAGGGTCACTCCTCTGTGCTAAACTGCCTTCATTCCAGGTTCTCTTCATAGTGCATATTTTCTCATATAAGGTAAAGTATTAGACAATTAACTACTTAGATAAATTAGTTTTGTGAAGCTCTCCTTTGAGATGAAAGGGAAGCTTAAGAACCCTGGAAATATTTCCATAATTTCAAACCTTACCAGCCCTGTGGGGAGAAAACTCACCCCTACTTTTTATAATTTTGCCTGAACAACAGCTAGGTCAAGTGCTGGTTCAAAAGATAACTCATTAGCCAAATAACTGGCTTCTCTTCAGGTAACTCTCCTTCCCATCCTACAGATTAAAACAACTACCTCATCTCTTTCAAGATGCCTTCTCAGCCACCCTGCAGCCCCAGCACTCTCCCTGTTCATTCCTGAGCTGTCTGTCCAATTCTTGGGAGTGTTTTTCCTTTCCCCATCCCCTTTAGCAAACTAACTTACACAGAGGCAGGAAGCATTGGGAGACATCTCTGCAATCAAATGAGCAGAAACAAGAGACTGAGAAGAAGGGCCTTGCATCCAGTTTATATCCAGCACTTGATTTGGAAATTCCCTGCTTGGACTTTGAATAGTTTTGCTGTGCCTTTTGTTGTTGCAAGTTCTCATAGTTTTTCTTTCACTTTTGCTTGAGTGGAGTTAATAAATAATATTTTCTGGTGACATATTTACCTTAAGACAATCCATTTGCACTTCCTGAGCAAAACATGGGATACATGATCCTTCTGTGTTGAGAATTAGTCCCTGATTGACAAACAATACCCTTCTCCCAGTCCTGACATTGCTACTCAGCCTGTAGCCATGGGCCTGACTTGAAGACCTGTAATGTTTGGGGGCTCCCTCCTGCTGCTTTTTAACAGCAGCCCATCACTCAAGAGCCTTCCTAAGAGTAAGGACACCTAAGAGAGGAGAGTAAGGGTTGGTATGGAACTTGCAAGAACAAAGGGCACTGTGACTGTGAGCCTGGTGTTGCTAGCCTGGCAGAAAGCCTAAAACAAGCCTTGAGAAAACATAAGGGAAATAACCCTGGGCTGACAGGAGACATGAGTTCAAGTCCCAGGAGTGCCACTTGCTTCATTTCCCTGGGAAAATCTATTTTGCTACTTTGATGTTGATTTCCTGGCCTATGAAATGAGATGATTGGAGAAGATTCCTAAAAGTCTTTCAAGCTTAGAAAACTGTTATAAAATGGCCTTCACAAACAACTCTGAATTCCTGGACCTTAAGCTCTTTAACACAGTTCCTGCTCTCTTCTAGAACCTACAAACTAAAGTCACTACTTGAGAACAATCCTAAGTCAACAGTTAAATGCTGACTCCCACCTTCCACACAACAAAACAATCCACATCCACTCTCGCACCACACTGCCTCTATTTCTCTGCCTTCGCTCCTGGACACTCCTCTCTACTGTGATTGTAGAGATATATCAAGGTGCTCTCTCCCTTGGTCTTGAGGTTTGAATTGAGATAAGTGTGTGTGTGAGCTTTGTGTTCTCATGGAATTTACTCAGTCTGATCCTCCTAACATTCCAAATTAATCAATGCTCTCCCAAATTCTCAGGACATTGACATGGAACAAAAAATTTTTAAAGCATATATTTTCTTAAAAAGTGTTTCAAACTTTTTCAAAGTAAGAAGACTGTAAGAATGCCAGGTTATCATCTTTGTTTGTTGTGTTTGCAGTGGCCATTTACTTTACCTTCACTCACTGATAGACTTCAAATGACCTCATTTATTCCAGGAATTTCTGTCCTGGAAAACTGAATCTACACAAGTGCTGGATTTATGTAGAGTCATGAAATGCAAGAGCTCATTTCTACGTCCCAAAAGCCTAATATAAATCATGTTCTTCTATTTGAAGCTCTTATTAGAGAGCTAATAAAATTTTTAAACTGATTATGATTTAAATGTATTTTGTGAAGTAGACTTAAAACACACACACACACACACACACACACACACACACACACACACACGATAAATATAAAGGGAAAGAATGCCTGATGGAACAAACTGAAAACAACTGGCCTCTGCTAATCTCCTTCCAGATTTTTCTGCAGGTTCCTGTTACCCCCTGTGTTTAGAAACCAACATTCTGACCTTTGGCTGCAGCACAACAGAAAAGTACTGCCCTATCTCCACTGTTCAACAGGATTTGGGGATTCTGAAACATCACCAATAGCCAATGTCAGATCAAGTTCAAGGAAATCAGAATACAGAAAGTCATTCAGGGAGCAGGGATGGGGGAAGGGCATGGAAAAAGGGAAAGAAAAAGCTGTACAAACTTAGACTTGAGTAAACTGCTTTCACTTTTCAAACTTGATTTGCACCCACTGCTTTCTTAGATTCACACCATTTCTGGGAAGACAAGAGAGAGAGGAGATGATTAAAAGCTGCTTAAAGTTAGATCACTCTCTTCTCATGCTCTTTCCCTCTTTGTCCCTCGCCCCTTAGTAGCCTGCACCATCTTGGTGCCAATGCCCAGCACCATCAGGGACAGTAAGGGCCTTTAGCCAGAGGCTCCAGGAAAAGGAGCCTAGAAATGACATTTCCCGGGAAAGATCTTTGTTCAATATGCCCCCAGATGTCCACCCACAGCCCCTACCTGAGCTGCAGATCTGTATGTTGAGCTGCATGTGTGTATGGTTTGCTGAATTCCCTTTTATCCTTGAACATGCCAAGTTCTCTGCCTTCGCCACACTATTGAGTATGCCTTTTTCTCCAACTCTACCCCCACCATCACGAATTTACAGGAATACTCAGTGCCAGCAGCCTTTTTTTTTTTTAGTTAGAGTCTCACTCCATCACCCAGGCTGGAGTGCAGTGGCATGCTCACGGCCACCCAGCGTCGACACCCTGGGCTCCAGTGATCCTTCCGCCTCAGTCTTCCAAGTAGTTGGAACTGCAGGTAAGTGCTACCATGCCTACTAATTTTTTATTTTTGTAGAGATGAGGTCTCTCTAAGTTGCCCGGGCTGGTCTCAAACCACTCGCCTCAGCCTCCTAAAGTGCTGAGCCACCGAGCCCAGCCAACAGCTCCTTATCCAGAAAGACTTCCTTAACTCTCTTCCTCCCCATCCTGAGTTAAGTGCCCATCATGTGTTTTCCCATATACCTCCTCTAAAAACCTCTCAGAGCACGTGTCTTCAGTAATAGGATCATCTGCTTGTCTATCATCCCCAGAAATCAGTAGCAACCTTGAGGGTTATGATTGCATCTTAATTAACTTTTATTCTCAGTACTACCCCAGTATGCCGTCAAGCACAGGAAATACTTTATAAACATTTTCCAAAATTAATTAAATAATTAATAGATAAATGAACAAGTATAAAAAACAAAAAAGTAATATTTAGTGAGTATTTATCTTTCAGGAACTATTATTAAATATTTATTAAATGGAACTTCATTTACTGCTTTAGCGTTTGAATGAAGTACATACAGATGGTCCTCAGCTTATGATGCAGTTACATCTTCACAAACCCATTGTAAGTAAAAAATATTCTAAGTTGAAAATGCATTTAATACACCTAACCGGCCAGATATCATAGCTTAGCCTATCTTACCTTAAACGTTCTCTCAACACTTTAGTTAGCATACAGTTGGGCAAAATTAACACAAAACTTATTTTCTAATAAAGTGTTGACTATCTCATGTAATGTGTTAAATACTGTACTGAAAGTAAAAAACAGGATGGTCATATGGGTATTTGAAGTACAATATCTCTTTTGTACCATCATGGAGTTGAAAATCGTCTATTGAACCATCATAAGTAGGGAACCATCTGTAGCAGAATCCCTATTAATAAGCAATAAGCTAACCTATGGTTATATTAGTAGTGGCTTTTAAGCAAGAGTTCTAAGGCTAATCCCTATTTCTATAACCATTGTCTTTTTCTTATAATGTGCCGCTTCAACGAAAAGGGAGGAGAAAGATGTTACTGGAGCTGGGGATTTCCAGCATGAGGTTACTGTGAAGGCAAGCCTGGGATACTCCCAGGAAAAACTAATTCAGGGAATTCCCTACCCAGAGAGGACATGGAATCTAAGGTACAGTGCCCTTTCAAGGAACTTGGACAACAAACCTGAATTCTGACCTCTCTCCCTCTTTTCTATTTTCTATGAGAAGTTCCCTCCCTGCCCCAAGCCAGAGCCAGGACTATGCCCCTTTCCTGACCACAGGCAGAATTTCTTCTTGAGACCCAACCTTCTCTTTGCTTCTTACTAAGAGTCAATTTAACATTTCCCCCCCTGGGTCACAATAAATTCTTTCAGAGGCAGAAAGCTCTCTTTTCATTTGTCCCTCCCTACAAATTAAAAACATTTTTTTAGAAAGTAAAAGATCTTGCTATGGAGATCTTGCCATGTTAGAAATCAAACAAATGTCTCAGATACCTACACACCTCCCAGGTTGAACCTAGCTGACAAGGTGGTCTTGGGCTTGTCACTGCCCACATTGAGGCATCCTTGGAGTAGAAGTGTCTTTCCTGTCTCTTTAATAATGTCCATGAAAAAGTTTCTGAAACAGCTTTGAGATCTAGAATATTGCTGCAGAAATGCCAACCAAATTCAGTCAAAAAGATACTGTGAATTTTCATTTATTAGTGGGTGGGAAAAAATTAGTCTCCCCTCAAAGAAGAACTATTCTGAAATATCTATCAAAATTTAAGTCATGTGTGGTGGCTCAGACCTGTAATCCCTGCACTTTGAGAGGCCAGGGCTAGAGGGTTGCCTGAGCCCAGGGGTTCGAGATCAACCTGGGCAATTTGACTCAACCTCATCTCTATAATAAATCAAAAAATTAGCTGGGCATGATGATGTGCACCTGTAGTTTCAGCTGCTTGGAAGGCTGAGGTGGAAGGATCACCTGAGCCCAGCAGGTGAGGCTGCAGTAGCCGAGAGTGTGCCACTGTCCTCCAGCCTGGGCAACAGAGTGAGACTCTGACTCAAAAAAAAAATTAAATTAAACATGCCTCCCCCCCAAAACAACAACAACAACAACAACAAACCACACCAAATTCCTTTCCGTAATAGGGAACTAGATAACCGAATTGTAGAATATATAAGCAGCGTAAATGGATGGATAATACCTGCAAACAACAATATGGATGAATGAGCCAGAATCTGTTGAGTGAAGAAAGCAAGACTAAGAAGACTACATAAAGTATGATACTCATTATAAACCTCAAAAGCAAGCAAAACTACATGGAGAGACAAAGAGAGGAACTACTTTGAAATTCAGGGTATGTTTGCTTTTTAACAGAAAAAAGCCCGATTAAATGCTTATATGAGTTATTTAAAGGAAATTTTTAACAGGAAATAAGGTGCTTGGGACCCCTCTGGTGTTATCTCATCTTGCCATATTCAAAATCTAAAATTTAACTATGAAAGTTTAATGTTTATTAAGGTAATTTTTAAATTGAGAGGCATAATGTATATTCACCTTTTTAAGGGTAATGTTGTTGTCTAAAACAATA